GGAACTAGGGGGTTCCTGGCTCCCCCAGTTCCCTTACCCAAAGCTCCCATTCAACCCAGGACAAGACTTACCTTATTTCCCACTAGGGAAATACATACCCACAGACTGACTGAGACTAACTCCAACTTGTTTTGTGTTTGTTTTTGTTTTGCAGTGATGCCTCTAACCTGGGATTGGCCTGTGTGTGTGTTTGTACATAGAATATTTATTTTTATACAGTTTTCACTTTTTGAAAATGCCAGAAGTATGATGCATCTTACAGATTATTAAAAAAAAAGGAAAACCTGCATATTTTGTACAGAAATTACCAACCTCTTCCCTTTTGTTTACAAGATGTTTTGTATAAGTCTACGACTCTAATACACTTTTCGTTTGTGAGTATGGTCGTACGTTTGCATGATATTTGTGCACACTTATTAAGTACTGAAGCTTAATAAATTATTCTGTTCTGGTGCCAAAGAGGGGCATCCAGCACTCAGGTGCTGGCTAGTTTATGTGTGAATTCACAGAAATGTGGAGGTCCGAGGTGTTTGCTAAACTAGGTGTGTCTAAGAATATCTTAAACTCTTATGGATTTTCATTATTTAAAAAAATGAAACATGGCAATTCATGATCCTGATGTATCTTTAAACTAAATACATTCTCTTCTTGTGAAATCAGGAAGTCCCAGAAGCAGGGGTCCTCAGAAGTATAATGGTTTGAAACATGAAGTCCAATGGAGGGCGGAGGGGACTGTATTAAGCAATGTCTACTGTAACACCTCCCATGTTCATTACAGCACCACATGCGCATGCAGGGTTTAGTTACGCTGAAACCCTCCAAGCCCCCAGGGCTACAAAGGGCTACTTGCTACAGCTTTTGTATTTTGGTGGTTTTTTCCCTTCCTTTTGAGCTGCAATCACTAGTACCAGCTATTGCTCATGATGCCCATTCACTCGATAGAGATTTGCAAGGTCCACTCACAACTAGCTGTTGAAAAATTTGCCTCAAAGCCATTCCACTCCAACAAAGAACATTCAGAAAACACAGATCTGGGTGAGACTGGCAATCTAAAGTTGTTTCTGTTTTTTAAGAAATAGAGTTTTATTGTTTACTGTTCTTAGCACAATGCCTATAAGGGTTTCACTGCTTATAAATAAATTAAAACTATTTTAAAGACTAGGTAAGTGTTACCTACGGTGTAGCACTCAGATTTGCTATTAGATGTTATAAAATGACTGATGCTTCTAAAGGGCTTGAAAATAACAAAGTACTTGGGTAATTTAAACACACAGCCCCATTTTATTTACCCTTTAACTTATCTTTATACGTATATCCTTTCATCATAAAGCGTACAAAGGCAGACTGAAATGGAGACTCTGTCCACACACAGTCACACGAAATCTAAATTAGTGGGTTTCACATTCATGGGACCCCCACCACGTTGTGGGGTGAGGTCGCACTCACAGGCTCTTGTCTTCATGGGACCACATGCCGCCCAGACCCCAGGGGACCATTCCCGGCATTCCTACCTAATATCCACTCAGATATTTTAAAATCAGGCATCTTCCTCCTCTGAGTCTCATTTGAAAAGTGAAGTGGCTCAATAGAGCTGCTCTCTGTGGTCAGCTGTCCCCTCCCCTCGTGGCAGAAGCATGAGGGACCCAGGCCCAAGCCGGCAGCTGGCACAGTTGCTCTCCCCCCGAGGGGGAGCCCCAGCTGCCGCACCCCCCCCACCCCCGGTCATCCCGAGCCCGCTTCCCGGCCTCGTCCAGGGCCGGCTTCTCCACCAGGCACCGTGAGCCCAAGCCTAGGCCTTTCAGGGGCAACTCGATATTGTAATTTCCATTTCTTTTCAATTCAAAAGCAAAATGAATATATAATCATGAATCCAGCCAGAGTTACACTTATCCTTCTACCAGGGCCACCATAAAATACGACTTCTGTATTTTTCTGGAGGAAGAAAAAAGTGCCCAGGGTCCCCAAAAGTCACAGCACGGCTCTGCCACGTCCTCTCTCGCCCTGGCTCCGCTGACTGAACGCCCCCCGCAGTGCCACCCTCCTCACCGTTTTCTTTTGCTTCCTCCCCCAACTCCCCGCCCGTCGGAGGGCCTGAGGAATCAGCATGTAACCTGGTTCTTCTAGACCCACTGCCTCATTCCCTTTCATGGTCTCACTGGAGCGATCAGAACCCACTGACGATCTCAAAATAGAGTCAAACATCAACTAGAAAGTTCCAGAAACTGAGGTTCTGTGTTAGCTGAACACCCTGGACAACTCTGGGCAAATCAAAACCTCTTTTACTGTGTTTCCATCCTGGTGTTATTATTCACTTATTTATTACACCTCAGCTAATACCACAAAGAGTTCGAAGTCACTTGTGAGAATATAGATAATGAAATAGAAATACGTGTAAAGAAAAGTGGGGAGAGTCAGGCTTAGCCCAAGAAGGCAGAGGGCACTGGCCAGGGAGTCGGCAGCCTCAGCTCCCAGCCCTTTCTTCACTGTTAACTATCTGGCCTGGGGACAACCCACTCCAGGTCTCATTTTCCCCCTGGTGTAAAATGAGGAAGTTGACTTGGATGACCTCTGATACCCTGAAACTCCCTGATTCCAGTGACTGGTCAGCTCCTGGGAGCACTGGGACGCTGGAGCGTTCCAGGCCCCTCCAGCTAGAGTCATTTGGCTGTGAGAGTGCTGCGCATGGAGCTGGCATTGCAAAACCGTGTGCTGCATGCGTGTGCTTTGTAACCCTGAGTAACAAGACTACTGCATTTGTCTCGGGGAGTGGGTGAGTGGGGTCAGCTCTCCTGGGGCAGGAGTGGCTACAGAGGTGGCTTCTCACGACAGTGTCCACGCTGCTGCCTTCATCAGAGACTTAGCAGTACAGGCTGAACCACCCGGCACGCAGCGGGGGCCCCAAAGCCCCACAAATGTGCAGGGACACTGCCACCTTCCTCAGACCAGGCTCTCCGTGCCGCGCCCACCCAGGGCACCACCCACACCCTCCGCAGCCTGGCCTTGCCCCCAGCCCTGCATCTGGACACGTTTTCAGGCAACTTGAGACGTCAAGCACTGAAGACTCCACCCAAAATGAGGAGAAGGGCAGGCTCCTGAGGAGTGAGCCAGAAAAGAAGAGGGGCCCATGGGGAGTCGGAAGGGAGGGCAGGGAGGAACCAGCAGCTCATTTGTCCAAGGAGGGGAATTTTCGAGGGTGAAGCTTCTCACAGCAGGGGCAGGGGGTTGGTGGTGGTGCAGGTAAGTGAGCTGGATTTGATCCAAGGTAGAATTCGACACGCAGAGTGACCCTCTGGTTCCTACAAGCACCCTGCTTCTGAGAAACAGCCAGGTGTCTGTTGGAGGAGGACACAGATGGAGGCAGAGCTGAACAAGGGACATAAGCCTCCCCAGCAGGGCCCACCCCTTCCCAGGTCTACCCACTGGGCCCTGCCCATACCCTCTGCTCGCCCCCTGCACACCTGGCCCCTGCTAGGCCCTTCTTTCTCATCTGTCGAAGTTCTACCTCCTTCTAAGGGCCCAGCTCAGACTCCAGGCCCCAGGAAGACCTCTGGGTTCCTCGGTTGGATGAGTCTCCCTCCCTGGAGCGACCAGGAAGTCTGCCTTCCTTTCTTCCTCCACCTTCTAATCGAGTAGGAAAGTCGGTCTCCCATATTAGACAGTGAACTCTTAGAGAAGGATTTTCTTATTCTCTGGGCTCCTGCGGGACCTGGCCCAGGTCTCCCCACCACAGCCGGGGCTCGTAAACATCCCTCACCTGCTGAGTCATCAGTCTACGTCATTAAGCACTATGTCACTATGTGCAGGCAGTGGGAGGGGGCAGGGGCTACTAAGGGCCGTAAGACACAGTCTGCCCTCCAGGAGCTCACAGGAGCTCCAGCCCTGCGAGGACTGTGCCGAGTGCTCAGTGAGGGCGCGCCAGAGGATGCTGTGCGGCCAGTGTGGCCAGAATGCAGAGAGGGCGAGGAGGCCAGGAAGGAATTACAGAGGAGGAGGAGCTGGCCACTGTGGACAGGCGGTCCCCTCCCTTCCCTTGTCCTCCTCATAGAATCTTCCAGTGAGCGTGATCCTGGGGCCACACTAGCTTCTCAAATCAGGGGAGGGCAAATGGGATTGTGGTGGAAGGAAGGGGTAGAGAGGGTGGGTCCAAACTGGGAGGGTGCTGGGCACCTACCAAGGTCACCAGGTCTGTGGGATCCCCGGCCCAGGGAGGCACCCTACGTGCCAATCATCAGCCAGGCTCGTTCTCAAACATCCCCTCTATCTACCTCCTGAAGGGCCAGAGTCCATGGTTAGTTGCCAAAAAGTGAAGCCAGCCTTGGGGAAAAGGCCTTACCCTGGAGGAAGGAGAAGACAGCACTGCCTCTGGACAGAGGGACGCGGGCTGAACCCTTTCCGGGGCGTGGCTTGAGAGGCAATCACAGGGTGACCACAGGAGAGCGCGGGCCACCTGCCGTCTCCAAGGGCCAGAGCCCCCCAGCAGAGCGCAGGCTCGCCCACCTCCTCCACTCTCTGCTGGGGTTTCTGCTGCGGCGCTGCAGCTGGCGCGCTCTGCTGTTGCTGCACTGCAAGGGCGCTGGGATGCCCTTCTGCCGCGGAGAACTGGGGATTTTTGTGCAACAACCCTTCTGCAGAAGTGGCTGATTGTCACACTCTGACCCTGGAAGGCCTCCCCAGGAGGCTGTGGCCAGAGACCAGTCACCTCTCCAGCTCCTTCTCAACTGAGTTCCTTTAACTTCCTTTGGTGCTGCCACCATTAACCCTTTAACTTCCTGGGTTCTTTCAAATATCATAAACTGATAAGTGTACCAAGCTGTAAAAGCAGAGTATTTGTCTTCGAGAGGAAGGCATGACAGTATCATAGAGGAGAGAAGCCCACGAGCAAGATGGCGATGAGCTTGGATGTCTGGGCTGGCCCTCAGAGCCAAGGGGCCTCACACATCGAGTCTGCAGTCTTGAGACGATGGAGAGGCACAGCAAGCTACATATTTTCAAGAGGATCTGGAATAAGACTTCTTCCTTAAGCAAAACTGTTGAAGGGACAGGGCCTGGAAATTACCCATCACTACCTTCCTTCTCACTTGGTCCCCATACAGAGGCTTGGTGGGTACCGCTGGGTTTTTACAGCCAAATTAACCAGCCGCCCAATGCTCCTTCCATCCTCAGGTCATAGGAGAAATAAAAAACATCCCTATATGACATGACACATGAGTGAAGGGGTTTGAGGACTTTCAGTGACTCACAGAATCCTGAACATTTGCATATAGTCAAATGGTCTTTATCATCTGCCAGCAAACCACCAGCTCCGAACCAACAACACAAGAGGAAGCCAGATCCATCATGGCCACATTTGAAAGAGGAAACTGCCGGTGCCTGGGCTCATTTCACTCTAAGAAATGCAGCAAAGTCGCCTGCTAAGTGACATTTTTCTTGCACTCCGCTCATTCCAAAGACACAGTGTTTTATTGCAAAAGTCTGCCAAAATAAACATGCCTGCAACTCCCCTAGCCAGTGGGAAGCACTCTGGCCCAGGAGGAAGGAGGTCTGTGTGCCGGCCCTGACTGCCCCTTGCCGGCTGGGCAACCTTGGATAAGTGCTCCCCATGCTCTGAGCCTCCCCTCCCTCATTTATAACCTGGAGCATGGGAGGACTAGCTCTGTGAACGGACTCGGAACACAGGAAAGAGCTCTATAAAGGTTAGACAATGAGATGGTTAGTGCTCAGTTCAAGAGAGAAAAAAAAACCTTGCTTTTTGTAGTCAAACCTCAATTAACTGGAGTCACTTGAGAAATGGTTCATTAAAATTTCTGGCGAAATTAGGTTCAATAATAATAACGCTAAATAATAGAGATGTAGACACATCTCCAACCCAGGGTGGCCCACCTGGGATGGGACACAAGAATGGATGTGGACTGCCCCTGGCAAGTTGCTTTTTACAAGTGAATTCCATATATGTTCATAGGTTTTTCTTTCTTTTTGCTAAAAAGAGAAAAATTAGCAGTTTTTAAAAATCTTTTTTTAAAATTACAGTTCCCCATATTCCTGGTTGAATGAGGACTTTCCCTTTTGTCGGCTCCAACATACTGATTCAGGGCCTGTTCCCATCTCCCCAGCAGCCCCACCCTCCCGCTCCCCTCCTGCGCCTCTTAGACCCTGGGGCCGAGACTCCCCAAGTGGTCAATCTGTCGTCTTACGTTTAACAATCATTACCTCGGTATTTCAGTAGAAAAAGTTTCATTGCACTGTGTCTTGCAGGAAATTTCAGTGCAGTTAATTGCAGGTTTAATGTATTTTTAAGGTGAGTCAGAACCTAATTTTCAGAATTGCATAATGAAGATCAACAGCTTATCTGACTGACTGTACAGACTGGGGAGTAGGATAAAGAGGTTTTCAGGAGTAATTCCTCGAATGATAAAAGCACTCATGAATTACGATTTTTTCCTTGTGGTAATTATTTTTGGTAAGGATCTATCCATACTGCAGGACTTTGGTATGGAAGAAAAAAAAATGTGCCTGTGTATAGTTTGCTCATGGTGTAAGTTTTTCTAGCATTTCTGTTTTGATGTTATAGCAAGATGTCTTCTTTTCTTTTTTTATGACTTTTAAAAAGTTATTTCCCTCAAGCTTTCCTTTGGGTCAAAAGCGCCTCCTGTGAAGGCAGCCCGGTGCTAAGATCCTAGAGTGAGGCCTCCGACACCCCCTTCCCACCCTAGGTGTCCCCAGTGATAGGCGGTCCCGTCCTCACCCCCGCAGGAATCCCTGTGGCATTCTGGTGCCTTTCGCCAAAAAGGGGTCATTTTTCAATAGGCAGGACCTTTCCTGGCTCCAGGTCAGTCACTGGTCCCCATGGTGCCCCCTTCCATGTCCCCGCAGTGCTGGGGCTTGCGTCCCCTCACCTGGTCAAGCAGATGGTGAGAGCTTGGAAGGTTTCTACCTTCTTGCTGTGTTTGTCACCTTCCCAAATGGTTCCCAAAGCCTCTTATATAGACTTCAGACCACCCCCTCCCAAGGGATAGGACCCCCAGCCCCTCAGCCTGGACGGTCCTCTGGATCTTTCCTTTGTTCCCGCCCTATCACACCCCAACCGGGGAGGGATTTCTCACCTCCTTATCTTACCCTGGTTCTGTTGTCTATTTTTCAGTTCTCTCTCCGTTCACTCTTCACCCTCAGACAACTTGGCTCCCGCCTCTCTCCTGTCTCTGTTTCCCCACCATCTTCTGCCCCTCAGAGACCCTCCCCACTACTTCCTTCAGCTCAGTCCACTGAGCATCATCTTAGCTCACCTCAGCAGCCCGAGGCCCCTGGGGTGAAAACTGCAGTCTGGGCGTGTGGGACAGTTTTGTTTTCCTAACAAACACTACTAATGCCTTTCATTTAAATAGAGTCCTTGACAGATTATCACTTATCTTATTCTGTGCCTCGTAAGAGAAAAGCCACACTTTTGTTTTATTCTATTTGATTTTCAGTTTCTATTCTGAATCTGATAGAACATAGTTATTAGGACCTACTGGTGAAGAAATGCTTTGTTTTCTGGTCTGAGGGTCATAAGCAAAGCCTCTAGGGTTTCCCACCAGTTTTAAGTTCAATATGTCACAGCAAACTTCTCGTTACAGAGCCGTGACACGCGCCATCTCCAGAGGAAGGCAGCGGTGCCGAGAGTTTCCGTTTCCTCATCCTTAAAAATAAAGGGTGAGACTAGATGTAATATTTTGTGATTCTACAATTCAGTAGCTTTTTTGCTGATTTCAACAGGTCAAAGGCATTTTTCCTCACGCCTGTCAGGGGTGTGTTTGGTTTTGTTTTCAACCGTGCGTCTGTATTTTCTGACTTTAAGAGGGGCTCTGGCTCAAGCCTGAGTTGAGAAACGCCCCCTCCTCACCAAATCTGGGTGGGAAGTTGCAGTGGACAAGGAGTGGCGACAATTTCCTGTGCTGGTTCTTTCCTCTTCCTTTGGGAACTCATTTGGTTTCCTCCCATCCATGCATTGCTGGAATCTGGAATGAGGTCTCTAACACAATATGAGACGTTCAGAGAAACCCAGTGCCAAGTATTTGTGGCAAGAAATAGAACAGCTAGCTAATCTTTTTCCTTAAATTCAACTCTTTGGTTTCTAGCTTAGCCAAAAGTAAGCAAGCCGGTTCCATGGCCATCAAAGACCCCCATGAAAGACCCTCAGTATTTCCCATGAATGAGCAGGTGTCCGCAGGGTTCCTGTGGTCGTGGCCATCAGAGCTCAGTGTGTGCTCAAGAATGATCAATGTAAGAAAATAAATCTCTAAACAGTTCTGTTGCTCTTATGTGGCCAAAAGGGCTTATAACTGTATTGAAGAGAAAATTAACAGCTGTGTTTTATGTGCTACTGGAAGGCGTTACTGCAAGTTGGTGCAAGATGAAGTGATCTCTGGGAATATGACTGTGCATGGACCATGCAAAAACACGTGTCTTCCAAGCCCTTACCCAGCAGGGTAGGGGCAGAACAGAGCATCATTCACCTACACCAACTGGCTAAGAAATAAGAGGTTACCTGGCTTAGTGGAAATGACTGGTTCTACGTTGGGGGCGTAGCTTCCAGTCCCCTGTCCAAACGTTAACATAATCATAAACCAGGCATGTCCCCACTTGGAAGGAGGCCCTGAAGGAAGTCTGGTTTCTCCAGTTAAAGTTTTCTCTTCTGAAGTGGCCATTCATGCAGGCGTTCCTCACCAAATCCTGAGGCACTGACGCTGGGCTCTTCAGAGCAAGTGCAGCTCTGAAGGTCAGAGCTCCCAGCTCCCAGCCCGTCCACACCAACCTGCTGGCCCAGGAGAAAGACACCTCCTGGGGCGCTGGAGACCTGGGGCATCTTGGGTTCCTACTACCTCCTCACAAAGGCATTCACTGGATGGTGGTAACCTGAGAGCATGACCACCCAAGGCCCTGGCTTCAGCCTCTCACTACTGACCACAGGGACTGCTTCTGGGCAGAATCCCTGTGCCTCAGAACTTACTTTTCTCCAACAGCCTGTCTGTTATGCCGGACTCCACCAAGCACCATGGCCTCTTCCATTTACGATCTAAAAAAACGCCTCCAAAGAATTTTAATTACTCTATTTTAAGTTTGAGAGCTTCCTTTATAAGAAACATTATAGAATCTCACATCATATTCCATCAATTTAGTAAAAATGCCATTTTACCAGGAAAAAACACTAAGGGCAAAATGTCCAATTCCCTTATTCCCAGCACCTCCCTTCTGCCCAGCTGGACACTGCAAACTTCCACCACAGTCCAGGGCTGATCTTACCAGCCTGTTTATTGAAGCAACCGGATTTTATGCATTTGTTAATTTTACACCTTCATTTAAGCTTTTTTTCCCCCTTGTTATTTGGTGCATCTGGGGTACAGTGTTTAAATGCACAGTATTTTATTTCCACGATGAGCTTGACAGTGGGAAAGAATTTCTCTAGCTTCTCACAACCTTCAGGTAATTTCAGAACTGTTTAAATCGTACACACCCATTTACACATTTTGTGCGGTTGCTAACTTCATGTATGTAAATATCTTTTATTGTTATCTCTTGGTACTTTAAGAACTATCTGTTTTTTACTGTGATCACTATCACCATTATCCTTTTGTCATTCTTAAATTTGGGTATTTTTTCTGGTGCGCTCAATTTATTTTTCTAATCTCCTTTGATATTTTGGAGTTATGTTATTTGTGTTAGTAGACGCGGGAAAGCTCTTTGCTGAAGCAGTGAGCAAGCTCTTTGTTAGGTATTGACATTAACAGATCGGTCCTTTTAAATGCTACCTATGTGGTTTCC